CCTTTGCCAAAGGACAATTTAATACAACGCAATAATGCACTAACATGTATTACAATGTGCTGCCACAAATGGTACATGCACTTTTTTGGTGTCTTGTGGTGCATTGGACAGCCCATTCAAAACCTATGAGTTGGATTAACATAACACACGTTGAGGCATGGCATAACGAGCATCAACTCATCCAATGGGCCCTTACTGTTTTTGCTTCCACAAAATTTTGGCAACCAAAATCTGTCATTTTGAAGTGGAATCAATTTCACCGGGGTCACACTGCTTGTCCATAATCATTATAGCTTCTTCTTGGCAGCAATAATGACATTTTATAAAGTGTCTACTGAGGGGAACAGAAAATTAAATCTTTCATAAAACACCAGTTTACAAGATAAAATACCAATTATTGGGAACCAAAGGCTTTAAATTGTTAACTATTTCTGGTTAATAAATACTAATTACAAACCTATATGACTTTTATTAAAATGTAAGTCCAGACAAATTCTTTTTTTTTAGATTAAAATCCATGTTGAGTTTTTACTGTTTAATTGTTTCTTGACTGTCTCTGTTGCAGATTTTCTCTATCTCTTGGCTCATAAAACCATTGTTATAAGGATGAAATTAAAGATGGCCATACACCAGTAGAATTTTGTTGGTAAATTTTTGTGTTCTGAATATTCATTGAATTTTTTAATGGTTAGTCGGGCAAAATCAGTGTTTGTTTTTAACTGTAGTGACAAGAAAATGTGAAGGGATGGAATGAAAAATGTTTCTAGAACAAGCAAAATTCTAACTGTGAATGTGTTTTTTGATCAAGAAAAGCCATTTATATTGTAACAAGCATGTTCTAGACATGAAAAAACCTGTTTAATATCCTGGAATTCCATTTAGGCAGAAGGTCTGGACAAAGTAAGTCGTAAAGGTACGTTACCTTGTGTAATTTATTTAAAGTAGCATGCTGGCATCATCATGTGATCCCACACCTTTTGAATGCAAATAATAGAAAGTAATTGTGATGCAACTAAATTTTATCACCAAGAAATTAACATAAAAACTCTCTAAATGTGACATAACTTTTACAAAACTTCAAACAAAAACAATTTAAAATTTTTTAATCATTCTGGCAAATATTCAAAATGGTTTTTACAATGATATATTCAACATAAGACATATAACTGTCTATGAATAGTATACAATTGGCTAGGATTAGGGACTTTTTAGGCACTTACACACAAAATATTGTAAAAGTACAAATTTATTAATACAATTTAATTAAAAACATCATCTAAACCAGGGGTCTCCAAACTTTATAAGCAAAGGACCAGTCTTCTGTCCTTCAGACCTTATGGGGGGGCGGACTATGATCAGTGTGAGCAGAAAATGCCACGCCATCAGTTTACATAAACAATGCTCTGTCATTGGTTTGAATAGAAGGAATAGTGCCCAACTGTTGGTATTAATGGAAAGAATAGTGCCCCATCAATATGGTCAGTGGGAGGAATACTTCCCCATCGATGGTGGCAGTTGGTGGAATAGTGCCCAAAGGACCCGATAAAGGCAAGACAGTGGCCACATCTGGCCCCTGGACCACAGTTTGGAGACCCCTGATATAAACTCAGCAGCTGATCAATCACAAAGGTAAATATATACAGAGTCCATCTTCTCATATACAGGAAACAACCACATGTAAGTAGATGAAACCCCAACATGTTTCAGTTATTCAAAAAATCTTCATCAGTGGAACATGATGGTCGATCTAAGATATGAATACAGAAATATTATACCTTCTACATCTACACAACATGAAAGAACAGTACTAGTAATACCAGTGTATAATATTTACAACTTGTATATACAGTACATGTACCTCTTGTACTTTATGGGATGTGGCACCCAACATCATCAGATTTATAGAATAACTGTGTATAAATACCAACCGTTTCCAATATTTTACCTTCAACAGCACAGAAAACATCAATATTAACAAACATGCTATAAACAAACCATAAAAAACACAACGTGTATAGATTATTATATAGTGTCCATTTTCTCAGTGTTCATAATAATTGTCCGAACATTTATGATTGTACGATTGATTTACTATTTATGATTGATACCACCTATGTGTAATCGATGCCCTCACCTGAAGGTATTGACCAATATACATACACAGGTCAAATACAGCTTTATTCCCCTTAGGCTGGGAAAACCTCAAATGTCTTCTCCTTATTCTTCCAGTAGGAGCAGCACAGCTCAGAAATAGAAGATAATGACTGTAGTGTAAAATGTAAAACTTTCCATTTATTAAAATAAGATAATATAACCCTCACATTATCCTGTGCACAACAGAAAGGCTTATATGTAGTAATTCCTTTCAGAAGTTCCTGTAATTGGAACCGCCATCAAATATGTCCGATTTCTTTCTAGTATGCGTTATGACGTCACCAGGCTCTGACCAACATGTCTCAATTCACAGGTCACGTGACTTCCTCAGGGGGTTTTGAACAAAATTTGTTGACTTATTGATGGCAATGCTCTGACAAACTTTTTCATTTTGTAGGAAACATCAAACAAAATGCTACTGGTGTATGGCCAGTTTTAATCTTTCTAAGGGAGTAAGGGAGCCTAAGACAGCAATAAAAACTTCCTAATATTACTTCCTAATATGTGTGATGACATTACCTAGCTATTCCCAACGCGTTTCGTGTAAGGCCACGTGACTTCCACAAGGGGTTTTGAACAAAATTTGCTGATTCAGTGATGGCAAATGCTCTGATAAATATTTTTTTCAGAATTTCAAACAAACTGCTACTGGTGAATCTTTCTGAGGGAGCCCAAGATAGCAGTAAACAAATAATAGAGAGTCCAATCCATTCCTACTCTATCTAAAACTAAAACAAAAGTTGGGCTGGACCTACAGTTTAATTCTTGAAGCGGAACTTACATTTTTTTTAATGCTGCAAGTTATGCTTTTATAGCAGAAGAGACTTTGAAAATCTCAGCATACTATGCGTTTTGAGATGAGTTATCTCCCATGCACATGTGTGGGATTGACATCATCCAAGGCTAGCCATCAAGATCGGTATCACTGTGCAATGTGTCTGATTACTTCCTAATATGTGTGATGACATTACCTAGCTATGCCCAATGCTTTTTGTGTAAGGCCACGTGACTCCCACAAGGGGTTTTGAACAAAATGTGTTGATTCAATGATGGCAAATGCTCTGATAAATGTTTTTTTTTTCAGAATTTCAAACAAAATGCTACTATTGAACTTTTTCTGAATTTCTATAAGAAACTTAAAATAAAATGCTACTGGTGTATGGTCAGTTGTCATCTTTCTAAGGAAGTAAGGGAGCCTAAGATAGCAGTAAAAACCTGAAAAAGAGTCCAATCCATCCCTACTCTATCTAAAACTAAAAAAAAAGTTGGGCTGGATCTACAGTTTAATTCTTGATGCGAAATTTAAGTGGTTTGGTTTTTTTTTTAATGCTGCAAGTTATGCTTTTATAGCAGGAGAGAATTTCTCTTTTGCCATGTTCTTATATTCTAGAAATGTTATTCTGCGTGTGCAGTTTAGTGTACAATCTCAGCATGCCTTGGGTTTTGAGATGTTATCTCCCATGCACATGTGGGATTGACAACATCCAAGGCTAGCCGTCAAGATCAATATTGCTGTGCAATGTGTCTGATTACATCCTAATATGTGTAATGGCATTACCTAGCTATGCCCAACACGTTTCATGTAAGGCCACGTGACTTCCACAAGGGGTTTTGAACAAATTTTGCTGATTTAGTGATGGCAAATGCTCTGATAAATGTTTTTTTTTTTCAGAATATCAAACAAAATGCTACTAATGAACTTTTTCAGAATTTCTGTAAGAAACATCAAACAAAATGCTACTGGTGTATGGTCGGTTGTAATCTTTCTAAGGAAGTAAGGGAGCCTAAGATAGCAGTAAAAACCCGATATGGAGTCCAATCCATCCCTACTCTATCTAAAACAAAAAAAAAGCTTTTATAGCAAGAGAGACTTTGAATTTCTCTTCTGCCATGTTCTTATGTTCTAGAAATGGTATTCTGCATGTGCAGTTTAGTGTACAATCTCAGCATGACTTGGGTTTTGAGATGTGTTATCTCCCATGCACATGTGGGATTGACATCATCCAAGGCTAGCTATCAAGATCGGTATCGCTGTGCAATGTGTCTGAATACTTACTAGTATGTGATGAGGTTACCTGGCTGTGCCCAATGCGTTTCGTCAAAGGCCACATGAGTTCCTCAAGGGGTTTTGAACAAAATGTGATAGCAAGTGCTCTGATAAATGTTTTTTTTTTTTTCAGAATTTCAAACAAACTGCTACTGGTGTATCTTTCTGAAGGAGCCCAAGATAGCAGTAAAAAAAAATGATAGGGAGTCTAATCCTTCCCTACTCTATCTAAAACTAGAAAATATAAGTTCGGGCTGGATGTACAGTTTAATTCTTAAAGTGGAACTAATTTTTTTTTTATTGCTAGAAGTTATGCTTTTATAGCAGAATTTCTCTTCTGCCATAAACATTCTCCTTATATTCTAGTAATTTTATTCTGCATGTGCAGTGCAGTGTACAGTCTTAGCATACTTTGGGTTTTGAGACATATTATCTCCCATGCACATGTGTGGGATTGACATCATCCACAGCCAGTCATCAAGATGGCCAGAGACGCCGAACCAAGTGATGAAGGAAATTGAGCATGCCACATCAGTGTAGGAGGGTGCTTGGGAGGTGAGTATGCCATAATCTGCATACTTGACCCACCACATTGATGGATTTAGTTCCACTTGAAAGCCCAACTCCAGACAACGTTTATTTTAAGTTTTGGGCAGAGTGAGGAAGGGTTAGAACCTTGCAGTCCGTGTCCTGTGGAAGCACCTTTAGTTTAGTGAAGAAAATCCCTTTAAATAATGTTTTTATTACTTTTTTCAGTTACAGAACCATTGAAATATTATTATTTTTATTATTATTATAGCTGGCGTTGTTGCCAAACAGCGTATCTGAATCCAGCAAACAAATCACAGCTGACAAGGTACTGGCTTCCACCATGTATGTTCAAGGACCACCGGGGTTACCAGGAGCACAAGGACCCCCAGGTAACAATCCAGAACACACTACAATCTCTGCAATCTGAGTGTACATGTGAAAATTCCAACCATGTGTGAATAACTACACAGGAATCACAGCACAGGAAATGAAAATAAATGTAGAGGCTAATCAGAAACAAACACGTGAAATAAATATTGATGATCTGTAAGTCTTTGATGTAGTCATAGCGTGATTGTACTTTCGTTTTTTTTTTTTTTCAATGTAAAGGGTTCCATATAGACTATTTGATAAAAGGATGCAGGAATAGCAAATAAGTCTACCTTCTTCGTCTTATTAAATCTTGACCTATTATGGGACAAAAACCTTCGCTGAAAATACCAGTTTCCCTGGCTGTCATGCTGTCAAGCAACTAGAATTTGTTTGAAGCAGACTGGTAATAGCTGCTGTCATACTATCCATCCCACACCTTCACCTCCACTTCGCCTGATCCCAGTGCAAGGTCAACTATGGTAATAGTTTCAACACTTGCAGCATCAACCTTAGAATGAGCTGGAAACTGTTGCAAAGGGCTACACACCTGCTGGCTGCAAGTGGTAAATGTGAATCATTAATATGTAATATTGCATATTTATCTGGATCGACAGAAAAAGATGATTTATTTGTACTTGAGGGCAGCACAGTGGCTAAATGGTTAGCACTTACGCCTGGCAGTACTAGGGTCGTTGGTTCGAACCCCAGCAACGGCACCTCCTGCCTGGAGTTTGCATGTTCTCCCTGTGCTTGTGTGGGTTTCCTCCGGGAACTCCGGTTTCCTCCCACACTCCAAAGACATGCTGGTAGGTTAATTGGATCCTTGTATATGAATGTGAGTTAGGGATTTTAGATTGTACACCCCTTGAGGGTTAGGGACTGATGTGAATGTACAATATATATGTAAAGCGCTGTGTAAATTGACAGCGCTATATAAGTACCTGAAATAAATAATAAATAATACTTGGCATGTTCCCTTGTTCCCCCACGTGCTTGCTGCTAGTTAGTTCATTTACTAGCTAGACATACCCTGCCTCTCACTTTGCTGCTCAGTTAATTTCACTTTTCAATCAGAAACACGGCTTAAGAAATTCACTGTCTGCTTGACTTCTTCTTGAGTTTAGGATCTTTTGGCGTTTTTTTTTTTGCCAAAGCTCCTAAACTCAACTCCATAAAAGCCTATGTATCCATGAACACATTGGCTTTTAGTAGAGTTTAGGAACTGCCGTGTTTAGGTGAGGTTAAACCTTCTTCTCCTGAACGTGGAAGAATCGCGTTCAGAATGGGAACGTTTTGAACACCAGTCATGGGAAAATGTGAAATGCAGTAAAAAGGTGTGTAAATATGGTACCGCTTTTACATGTGTTTTTTCCACGTTTTGCCGTGGTCAGGGTAGGCTAGTGTACATGTAGCCTTACACTAAGGCTGGGACAACATACTCTGTACCAGGACCTGTCAAAGCGTTTCCCAATCAGAACAACTCAGGATATATACTGTATGTGGAGAAAGGGAATGCAGTGTATTTTAAAACTGATGATGGCATTTTTTCAATAACTATAAATAAAGAAGAGACACCACCAAATGCATGCTTTTTTAGCCAGAAAAACTTCTTCTGTGCCCCTCTTTGATTTCACTTTGCCATTAGAACCTGACTTATTCCTGACTGACTAAGCTCTGCTAACTGTCATTTCATTGTCCAAATGTCTTTCCCCACTCAGTGACTCTGTCACTCAAAAAAAAGCTGATACAGCAGGGAAAATAATTATTTGATCCCCTGCAGATTGTGTAAGTTTGCCCACTTACAAAGAAATGAAGGGTCTATAATTTTTATAACCCAAAACATACTGCCAAGGCAACAAAGCAGTGGCTCAAGAAGAAGCACATTAAGGTCATGGAGTGGCCTATCCAGTTTCCAGACCTTAATCCTATAGAAAATGTATGGAGGGAGCTGAAACTTTGATTTGCCACGAAACCGCAAAGAAACCTTAAGGATTTAGAGATTGGTAAAGAAGAGTGGACCAAAATCCCTCCTGAGATGTGCAAACCTGGTAACCAACTACAAGAAACGCCTTACCTTTGTGCTTGCCAACAAGGGTTTCTCCACCAAGTACTAAGTCTTGTTTTGCTTGGGGATCAAATACTTATTTTAATCACTGAACTGCAACTCAATTTATAACATTTGTATTGTGTTTTTTCTGGATTTTTGGTTGATATTCTGTCTCTATCATTTAAAATACACCTAAATAATAATAAAATTATAGACCCTTCATTTCTTTGTAAGTGGGCAAACTTACAGAATCTACAGGTGATCAAACAATATTTTCCCCCACTATGTAAATATACATATACACAATATTGGCAAAAGTATAGGGACACCTCTGCAAATCATTGGATTCAGGTGTTTCTATCAGCTCCATGGCCACAGATGTATAAAATCAAGCACCTAGGCATGCAGACTGCGTCTACAAACATTTGTGAAAGAATGGGTCGCTCTCAGGAGCTCAGTGAACTCAATTTTGGTTCCGTGATAGGTAGCCACCTGTGCAATAAGTCCATCCGTGAAATTCCCTTGCTACTAAATATTCCACGGTCAACTATTAGTATTATAACAAGGTGGAAGCAACTGGGAACAACAGCAACTCAGGCACCAAGTGGTAGGCTACATAAAGTGACAGAGTGGGGGTCAGCGCATGCTGAAGCGCACAGTGCGCAGAAGTCGCCAACTGTCTGCAGAGTCAATAGCTAAAGACCTCCAAACTTCGTGTGGCCTTCAGATTAGCACAACAGTGTGTAGAGAGCTTCATGTAATGGGTTTCTATGGCTGAGCAGCTGCATCCAAGCCTTACATCACCAAGTGCAATGCAAAGCATTGGTTGCAGTGGTTAAAGCACGCTGCCACTGGACTCTAGAGCAGTGGAGACGTGTTCTCTGAAGTGATGAATCACGCTTCTCTGTCTGACAATCTGATGGACATGTCTGAATTTGACAATTGCCAGGAGAACAGTACTTGCCTGACTGCATTGTGCCAAGTGTAAAGTTTGTTGGATGGAGAGATTATGGTGTGGGGTTGTTTTTCAGGAGTTGGGCTTGGACCCTAAGTTCCAGTGAAGGGAACTCTTATGGAGTCAGCATGCCAAGACCTTTTGGACAATTTCCTTCCTGTTCCAACAAAGCAACAAAGCATGGTCCATAAAGGCATGGATGAGCGAGTTTGGGGTGGAGGAACTTGACTGGCCTGCACCTCAACCTGCTACACCTTTGGGATGAATTAGAGTGGAGACTGCAAGCAAGGCCTTCTTGTCCGATATCAGTGCTTGACCTCACAAATGCGCTTCTGGAAGAATGGTCAAACCTTCCCATAGACACCCTCCTAAACCTTGTGGACGGCCTTCCCAGAAGAGTTGAAACTGTTATAGCTGCAAAGGGTGGGGCCAACTCAATATTGAACCCTACGGACTAAGACTGGGATGCCATTAAGGTTCATATGTGTGTAAAAGCAGGCATCTTAATTCTTTTGGTAATATAGTGTGTGTGTGTGTGTGTATATATATATATATATACAGTATATATATAGTTATTTCAATTCTAATACAGCATTAAGCAGTGATTAAACCTGCAGGCTCTGCTCGAGTAGTGTAATCACTAGGTGCACACCCTGTGCTAGGTTTATTTCACTGTGAAATAGAAACTGGCGCAGGTGGCACAACTAGACCTAAAACAGGTCTTTCTGCACAGTTAATGTGGCGCATGCTGCTTCTGACAGTTTCCTGTGCAAAAGTTAATCACCCTGGTTTGTGTATAGGGGCGGAGGGAGGAGGGAGGAAGAGGTTCCTAACAAGATAGAAGAATATCAAGTGTTTAATACTTTTAAACATACAGATTTAATTAAAATAATATCTGGTGGTCCTGCCACAAAAGTCTCTGTTCAGACATTTACTGTTATAGGGTGACAGTGCTCTGTCCCCATCTCCTAACTTGTTCTCCTGCACTGTCAAAATGACACATACTGTATTCTCCTAATGGAAACTACAAGTAGACCTGCCGACCAGGACCATGGATAAGGAGGTACCACCAGTTCTCCTGTATGAGACCCAGGCCAGCAGGGGGCCCAGCACTGGGGGGGGTAGGTTAATTACTGGAACCAACCCCCATATGGCTCTCTCTGCAGTAGGTGAAAGCCAGCTTCTTCTCCTTTCCCTCCCGTTGACTCTCAGCTGCTGTAAGGAGCCATACAAGGGATCGGTTCCAGTAATTGCCTCTCCGCTGCACCCATCAGCCTCCCTGTGCATCATGCATTTACCCCCAATGTCCAGGTCCTCCTGTGTGCTCTCACCCTCGTGGTGCTGCCAGCTTTCCTCCTCTCCTTCCCACTGGCATCTGCAAGCACACAATAGGATCCTTCAGGAAGGAGAGTGGGGGAAGAGTCAAGTAAATATGTCACATTTACCAACCCCTTCGTTTCCTGAATGAACACAATGAGTGATCAGTACCAATCACTCACTTCATTCATTCATAACTGAAGCATAGTAAACTGTTTTTTTTTTTAGGGGGGGGAGGCTGTCAGGTTTGCTGTATGGGGCCCCATTGCTTCTAACAGCACACATTACTCAACTTAATGCCATTGAATTAATTCATTGGTCAGCATTTCATATGGTTAATCTGACCGCAATTGCTTGATGATCCTTTAATCAGTCTGAAATACATCAAATAATTAGGCATTTGTCTTATTTTTCCATTCTGGACCTCAGGCAGGCAGGAGGCATTTTATAATTAATTCTTTTTTAATGCTAAGATACAAACAAAACTTTAAAAGCACAGACTGTTTACCATGGCTACCTCAACAATTACTGGATTTTATGACATACTAACTTTTTCCGTTCTCTGATGCTGAAATCTAATTTGAAAGGAAATATGACATTCCAGATCTAGTCTGGAAACACTTTCATTCATTTCAAGCTCATAAATTCAGATTTCACTTTTTGCCATGAATTTTCTTGATCCGTGATATATCAGAGGATCTTTTCTCTACTGTCTGTGGAAGTCCCATAATAACATGAAGAGAAAAGTCTGGTGAAAAAAAAACTACTTGAGGAAGGGAGGTGGAAGGAGGTAATTAAGACCTTAAATCCTTAAATTAACCCTCAGCATCAAAGCAGTTGAAACACTTCCCCCTTGCACAGACCTTGAGGCCTCATGCACACTGGATGTTTGGCCATCTCTACTAGACGTCTTTCCTCTTGACAACAGAGCTTTGGCAGAATACAAATGCGTAACGCTTGTAAAGGCATTTAGGCGCATCCAGTGTTTGTGCGTTAATTCATTTAATTGGTCAGAATAATCTTTTATTCTGGTCATTGAAATGAATGAATGCTCAAGTGCTAAACACTCCTAGCCAGGGGCGGACTAACAACTCATGGGGCCCCCGGGCAATAGGGGATCATGGGGCCCCTGTGTCCTTGCCCAAACTCAAAAAAGCCTATGAAAAAGGTACCAGGGCATCTCATGGGGCCCCCTACTGACCCCGGGCCCTCGGGCGGTGCCCGAGTTTCCAAATGGTCAGTCCACCCCTGCTCCTAGCGTTAACATATGATTAGTTGCGTTTACCCACTTACACACATGTCAAGCGTTTTTTGTGACAAAAAAGCTGCTGCTCCTGGACGTCCTGGCAGTGGGTATTTTTTCTGCCTCTAATCTCCTCTAAACATCTGTGCATGCATGGACAAATAGGCAAACATGAAGAGGCATTTAGAGGCAGAAAAAAAACACCAGACATCAGTTCACCTTGTAGACAAAAATAATAAATGCACATTTTTTTGCTGGTAAAAAAATGTGCATTTATTATTTTTGTCTACAGGAGCCTGGAAAGCATTGCACCAGCGATCAGTAGATCGCTGATGCCATGCTTAAAAACGGGTGGAACATGTTACATGTTCCCAAAGGTGAACTTGTCCTTTAAAAATGCCCAGTGTTCATGAAGCCTAAAGGAAAGGTTTAGTCCAAAGTTTCAATCTGACAAAGCGTGGCTTAAAGCATGAGTTCAAACAACATTTTTTTTTTTTAGTTTTGGAACGCATGTGGAAGGGTTAGGGCTCATGTACACGGGGCGTTTGGAAAACGTCTGAACGATGGAAACTGACTGCTGGAAAACTTAGGTTAAAAAAAATCAGTTTAGCTGCGTTTGCATACCGCGTTTATGCACGTTTGCGTTTAGAAGCGTTTAGAACCGCCCCTTACATATTTAAGAACTGTCAAACCAGCTTCTGAGCAGATGGCCAGGGGTCAAGGTCGGTAGCCTTTTTTTTTTTTTGGAGCGGCGGACATCGTGATTGACGTTGGATCTACTTTGGGGACATTCTTTTATTACAGGACTTGTCAAAGAATGACTCCTGTCTTTTTTCACACTACAGCTTTTTTTTGTGTTTTTTTTGTGAATGGGTAGCGGTGCCATGTACCCCATACTCAATCACGTGGGGGGGGGGGGCAGGATCTGGGGGCCCCCTTGCAAAAGGGGTTTCCAGATTCCGATATGTCCCCCCACTCGCAGACCCCCACAACCACAGCCCAGGGTTCTGGGGAAGAGGCCCTTGTCCCCCTCCCCCTACCCCAAAGCACCCCCCCATGTTGAGGGCATGTGGCCTGGTATGGTTCGGGGGGGGACTCGCTCACCCCCCCCCCCCCCCCTTTTCCTAACCTGCTGGGCTGCATGCTCAGATAAGGGTCTGGTATGGATTAAGGGGGGGAACCCCACGCCATTTTTTTTTTTTTTATTTGGCGTGGGGCCCTTAAAATCCATACCAGACCCAAAGGGCTTGGTATGGATGGGAGGAGGGATCCCATGCCGTTTTTTTAAATTATTTTTTAATTGCCAGCAATTCTTTCTTTTACATTCAGCTGTCAGTGGAAACCCCACTGACAGCTGAAACATGATGCATGCTTTTCACTACTAAAATTCCACATGACTTGATAAATTCATGCGGTATTTTAGTAGCCTTTTTTAGTGGATTCAAATTTTTTTTTTTTTTAATTCTATGCGGTATCCAACTCGGGTGTGGTAGGATACCACTTAGTGAATTGTGTCCTGGATATGGACCAGTCAAAAAAAACGCTTCTAAACACAAATGCTTATTAACATGGTTAACCTCATTTACAAGCGTTTACACACATTTACAAGTGTTTGGTGTTTGAAACGCAGGTAAAATCTACTCCTTAACGCAATTTTGCTGCGTTAAAAAAAACTACTATAAACTCAACTGCCTGTAAACGACTGTAAATGACGATGTGTACATGGACACATAGGAAAACATTAGGGAAAGTTCAGGGGCTGCTGGACAAAACGCAGAAAAGCTCCTAAACGTCAGTTTATCAGCTGCAGTGTACATGAGCCCTTAGAACCATTGAATGGAACATTGCTGGCAGGTAGGCTTTTATTGCTGAAGACATTTTGCAAGGTTGATTTACTAAAACTAGAGTGTAAAAACTGGTGCAGCTGTGCATGGTAGCCAATCAGCTTCTAACTTGTTCAGTTAAGCTTTGACAAAAAACCTGAAAACTCATTGGTTTCTATGCAGAGCTTCACCAGATTTACTAAATCAACCCCTGTATGTCTCTTCTGCAGTAAAAGTTTCTCTTTGACCTGACAACAATATTTTTTCCTAATGTTCAGTAAGCTGCTCATGCACAACTCAGTGCACTTTTTTTGGCATGCCATGGTGCCAGGATGAATTAACGCCTTTGCACATGCATAGGAGTTGTGTCATTTTGGACTGACAAATCAAGAATTTCAAGGATAATGAACAAAGAAGAAGACCAGTCTAAGATACAAGCGCTGTCAAGCAAATTTACGATTGTTGCATGGCTGGAGATATGGTAAGTATAGCAGATTTAAGCTCTGCTTTAAGCTAATGCTCACACCTATCCCCCTTAATGCTTGACCCTAAGCTAGCTTTATCCTATTTCTTGACACAATTAATAGAGTTAGCCTCATACACTAATGTATTGCCTGAAGTCTCAGACCAGCACTAGTTTACATCGATGGAGTCGCAATTCCTTGTGGCACTGCAGTTGTGGCAAATAAAAGTTGCACCTCCATGTTAAAAGTTTATTGTAGTCCTATACACGTCAGTAGGACTCTAGCAAATTAGATGTTGCAGACTCCTAATATTCAACATCTCACAACAGCACTGTGCCACCAAACCAGTCTTACCTTCTTACAGGTACAAAGTAAGTGGAACCCTAGTGTTCCTCCAGAGGTTGCTAGGGGTTCCTTGAGTATTAAGCAATTTCTTCTTCTTGGATAAGTAACCACTGACACCAATGATCTTTTTTAACTATCTGTAGGGGGGGAATTCCCCTCAATGATCACAAATGTAAGGAGCATTCTTCCCACTGACCATCACACTAATGTACTGTGAGCTGTAAATATAATAATTATTTGCAGAGCTTTCCTGAAGCCAAAAGGTTTTTTCAAGGGTTCCTCCATGATAAAAAGGTTGGGAATGGCTGGTTTAGAGCTTAGCTGCATGCATTTATTTTATTTAAATTGGCTGTAACATGATTTTTGTTTTACTTTTTTTCCTAGGATTACCGGGTCCTAAAGGAAGTTCTGGCCAGCCAGGTCCCCCTGGGCCTCCTGGTCCTCCCGGCCCTAGAGGATTTATGGGTCCAATGGGACCGTCTCCTGAGGTTTCACATATCAAACAAGGAAGAAGAGGTCCCGTGGTTAGTATTATGCTGGTGATATCTATTTTTTCTGATTACTACTTTCAAATCACAAATTCAGGACTTCTGTTATGTTTCGTCTTTCTCTAATACTCCATTCCTCATCAAACCAGACCTTCACCAATACAATATATATTTAAATGTTCTCTCTGAGCTCATCACTTTACTGTATATGGTGAAAACATGCAGCAAGACTCCCTTGCTAAACATTATTCCCCCCCAGCCACTTTATGGTGCTGCTGTTGACTCACCATAAAGTTGAGGGCAGCAAGCAGAAGTTCTGGATGACAGAGCTGCTCAAGGACACCAGGGAACTAGTCACCAATTATGAGCAGTTGTGGTAATATGTAGTGCTAGGGAATAGTTTAACTTAGAACTTCTTCACGGAACTGACATTCACAGAAAAATGTACAAAGAGATATCTTCATTCAAATTCTATATTACCCTTTTCCATTTTTCCTGAATTATAGGGTAACAATAAAAAACAGCGATCTATTGACCCCCCACATATAGTCAAACCAATCTGTCCATGTCCTGGTTTAATAGTAGTGGATGATTGATACAGGTGGTGGGTCTAATGGAGTCCTTTCTCGCTCAAAGCCCAGGCATGACCCAGTCTTCCATCTTCCTGCTCCTAGTCATCTTTGATCTTTTTCCTTTCAATAAGCCATCTGCTGCCAAGCTTCCTTGATTCATGTTCTCATTATATTCCCTGTTTATTCTTACTTTGTACCTCATTGTGAAAGATCAGTATGAATTATCTATAATGACAGAACAGTAGTTCGTGCTAATGTGGATTTATGTTATATACTACTTATTCTCTTTTTGTGTCATGCAGGGTCCACCGGGAGCACCTGGAAAAGATGGATTAAAGGTATGTAGCCTATATGATTTCTCTCACCCAGCCTAGATTTAGGTAAAAATCAAAAATGGCTTTACTTTTTGGTGTTACTTACAAAAAGTCCCCTTTTGAACCTATGCTTTGTGGTAACATATGTTTTACTATAAGATACGGCAATGTATGGTGCTCTTTATGGGAAGTGTTGTCTAGCACCACCACAATCATTAATTCGCTGTACATTCCATCTTATTCTAAATGAACTGACTGATTTAACTCAATATAGTCAGTACCTTACATCTGCATTAGAACCTCCATGAAGTAAGTAAATTGTATTCCTGTGTCCTTTTTCCCTCTGTACAATATTAAATTTCCCCTTAGATATCTCTGTGGCAGAATCTTATTTTAAAGTCCCTCTATGCCATGATAATGGCACAAATTGCCATCATTACTTACTTTTGGTTGACCAGTAAGCAGGTGATGGTAGACCCAGGGAAGCTGAGGGTTTTCAGTCAATTTAATTTTTTTTTTCCCACATTTCCAATTTCCTAGCACATGGATAACACCGTATATAGAGCACAGCAAAAAAGCTTAAGATAGGATTTTAATGATCTGGTACAGTAAGCTTTGATGTGGTGGAAATCTGATGGATGCTGTGCTCTTTCAGTCATCACTGTACTTTGCACTGTAGATTTTTGGAGTGTAACAAGAAGCTTAAATGTATATCTTGGTTGTTTGTTTATAGGGTGAAAGAGGAGCTCCAGGACCAAGAGGACTTCCGGTGAGATTCCAGAATTAATTTAAGATGAAAAATACATATAGACCACCACTGCTGACCTTCTCCTGAAAATGCTAGTTGTCTGATTGTCTCTCATTTCAGTACTTTTTGAGTCACTGACCTGAAGCAGTTATGTAACAAATGACATCAGAACTTCTGATCTACATGCTTTTCTGTTTCATTTATTGATTATGTACCTAAAGCCATTGGGTCAATATGACAGCTAGGAAGCTTTCATTTTAGGAGTGGTAAGCAATGGCAGCATGGCAATGGCACTGTTGCCTTTCTATCATCTCGAGCTAGTCTGCCAATTCTCCTCTGACCTCTGACATCAACAAGGTATTTTCGGCCACACAACTACCGATCACTGGGTATTTTCTATTTTTCGGACCGTTCTCTGTAAACCCTAGAGATGGATGTGCATGAAAATCAGCAGATTTCGAAATACTCAGGCCAGCCTGTCTGGCACCAACAACCATGCCATATTTAAAGTCACATTTAAATCCCTTTTCTTCCCCATTCTGATGTTTGGTTTGAAATTTAGCAAGTTGTCTTCACCACATCTAGATGCCTAAATGCATTGAGTTGCTGCCATGTGATTGACTGATTAGCAATTTGTGTTACCAAGCAATTGAAGCAATTGAACAGGTGTACCTAATAAAATGGTCGGTGAGTGTGTGTATATATACATTATATATACATATACATACATACATACATACATACATATATATATATATGTATATATATTCTTTTTTTTTTTTCTACTGAAAGTTTTGTGCCTTGTGTGTAAGTCTATAGAAACCAATTAGAAATCATTGTTCTCATTGCTCTAAAGCAGACTTGTCCAACCCACGGCCCCAGAAAGCTTTGAATGTGGCCCAACACAAAATCATAAATGTACTTAAAAGTGTAGGTTTTTTGTGGAATTTTTTGTAAAAAAGCATTTACATTTAGCAAACACATGAACAGTTTGACAGTGCTTCTTTACTGGACTTTTATAAGATAAAACTTCCCAAAGAAAAATATCCCACTCTTCACAATAATGCCTAACTCATGTCATTAGTTTTCGGCAGCACCTATTTTTGTGAGCAGCTATTTTCAGGGATGAAGCATACGAAGGGCAAAATCATAAACCAAAATATCTGATGAGCACCTTGAGAGTTTGTTAACAATCACTGCTACATCCATTGGACCAGATATTGATGCGTTAGTTTCAAAAACAGTGTCAAATATTTCACTAGTTTTATGTTGCCATCTTTTACTTTTATAATTAATAATATTACAAAAAAATGAAGTTTTAATGCTCAGATAGGTACATTATCCATATCAGTGTCCATTACCATGATCATTACCATGTGATCTGCCCATCTTTTTCTGTTATCAACTGTCCTTATTGTTAGTGTATTTAATGTGTGCCCCAAGACAATTCCTCTTCTTCCAGTGTGGCCCAGGAAAATCAGAAGGTCATGGTTTGGCCACTGTGGGTTATTTTATTGTAAACAAATTTGCTTGTCTTGTTGAATAAGTCCAAGACTTTACAGACTAAGACAGCCCAAGAGAGGCACCAGAAGGGCTGGGGTGTCAACTTCAACACTACTCTTACCCATTCTTCCTCACAGGCTATTACACTTCCTTCCCCCTCTATTTAAAATTAAAGTAAACTTGCACCAAATTTGAGTGATTTAGGCTGAATACATACAATGATTAACCAGCAGAGAGCTTAACTTTATTGAAACCAAGTCAAACCAATTGGTAGATCCAAAGTTATAGGCAGCAGAAGTTACATGGAAATGTCAACTTTTCCTATAAAAGATGAGGTTCTCCCACCCACCTCCTCTATAACTCTGTTGGTCTTTTAATGTGACAGGTGGACAATGCTGACCAATACTGAGCCTCAAAAGGTGGAAGAAGAAAGGACCATGCTTAGTTTTTTACAGCACAGGCTCTGGATCTACTGACAGTTTGAACATGTGGATTTCATTGAGGCTTATTTATTTTAAATTGTAATACTCCGTTTGAGTTGCCCAGGATGTTTGTGTTGTGTAAAGTACATAGAAAGCCAAAACATATTATCTAGTTTGGATAAAGCAGGGAATGGTTAAAACCCGTTTTTGTCTTGCTTTGTCCTAGTGGGAGATTTCCCCCTCACCTCCTGTCCCAGAAACAGGAACTAAGAGGAAATTTTTCCTCTGTTCTTTTTTCTGTTGACAGCTGTAAAACACTGTGACACGGAAAGCAATAAAAACACTTCTACACTCTGAGAAAGCAGCCAATGTGTACTTCAACTTTCTTAAAGTGGAACTATAGTCCATTATATTTACCTCTGCCCTCAACAGTAAGATGCCCGTGAGGTCCCACACCGGTGCCAGTATCTTTTCCCTGGCTTCTTCTAGATGCCAGTTCTTGGCAATCTTGACTGGCCACTATGAGATGGTGTCACTTTCAGAACATAGGCACTGTGCCGGAATGTAATGTGCATGCGCAGCTCAGTGTGCATTATAAAGAAAACTGAGAACAGGCGGGTAGATTTACTTTATTAAATTCCCTCTGCTTGCAGTTTTATCATTTCACACTTTATTTCCACTTTAAAGTAAGCCTATACTGTATACTAGATTGTAAGCTCCAAGGAGCAGGGCCCTCGAACACCTTGTGTATTGTATTGTATTTTATTGTTACTGTACTGTCTCGTGTACTGTCTCCCATTATAATGTACAGCGCTGAGCAAACCGTTGGCACTATATAAATACTGTATAATAATAATAATATTTTTACACTTTAAAAGTAAAAGCCCTGCTTAGCAGCAGACACCAATATTTACTTACTATTATTTTTGTTGGCCACAAAAAGTTCCTGTGACCCTCTGAGTTTTAGTTTCAGTTTTTGTTCTGGGGCTTAAATATCCTTCACTTCCTGATTAAGATCTGCCATTTAGTTACCCTATGACTCAGTGGTCAGCGTACTCCCATAGAACAGAGGGAGGCTTTTCTGACTAATAAAGGTCATTAGCATTTGGCATTTGTAATATACCTTAATGTGCCACGCTTCACTTGAAATTAAACATCCAATTGCTTTTACTTATATTGCATACCACCATAAATAAACAATTAAATTAAATATGAAAAGATGAATAAAAGTGAATAAAAATAAATAAAAAATAATATATTAAACCAGTGTCAATTTCCAATAATAATGTCCATATAATTATCAAGAAAGTCCATAAATAATATTTTTCAAATTTGCATACTCTGGCCCATTTAAAGGGACACGAGCATTAGATGACCTTACTTAACGGTTTGGTCATATACTTGAGGTGATAGCACAACCGGTGGGGGAGCATGTCCATGAAAGTTTTTTGCACAAAATATTTTATTTCAGAAGCATGGGTTATTATATTTTAAAGTGAACTATGCAAGTTTGAAGAAATCTTATTTATGAACTTTCTTGATAATTATGTGGACACTGTTATTGGAAATTGACACTGGTTTAATATATTATTTTTAATTTATTTTTATTTTTATTCACTTTTATTCATCTTTTCATATTTCATTTAATTGTTTATTTATGGTGGTATGCAATATATGTAATAGCAATTGGATGTTTAATTTCAAGTGAAGCACGGCACATTAAGGTATATTATTGATTTAGCACACTAGTATGAGTATGTGTTAGGTGCAGGCGATTCACAATTAGCACTTAAGTAGGTTTCAATACTCCCATAGCAGCTCACAAGCTTTCACCTTTCATTTGGCATTTGTGATGTCTTCTCCTAGGCCAGACTTTAACCTCCCTAGCAGTATGATTATGTCCATATTTCTGTGCTCAAAGCGGAACATTTTTTTCCATGGAAATATGTCTTTTTTTTTTTGTAGGCCTGTAATTTTTAGGAATAACTCACTGAAATCTGTCCGAACAGGAGTCTAGTAAACATCCCAGGTAGGATAAAATTTGAAACACGAAATCATAAATTATAATATAATAAATAGTCATAAAAAATAATAATATAATAATAATAAATTTAATTCAATAATATAATCAAACCAAAAACACTGAAATTTGAAATATAGCGCCAAGTTCGCACATCAGTGAGCTTAGTCGCAAAATCGTTTTCAGTGTCTGATGATGAATTTCCCCACGAATCATTATCACTCAATTCTGCAAGTGGTTCTGATTTACTATCGCTGTTCTCTAGCTGGTCTAAAACCGATTTTGACCTAAAGGGACGCTTTTTGGACGCCATGGACGTTTCTCAGTTTCCCGGCAGAAAGAACAGTAAAAATGCAGGCAGGGCGCCGGACAAAGCACTCGGGACAAAATGTATGTGAAATGGTTTGATACAGTAATTATTATTATTACATCGAGTTTATATAGCGCCAAAGGGTTTGCTCAGCGCTGTACAATAGAGGGGGGGACAATACATGAAACATTACAGCAACAACAAACAGCACACGAGAGGTTAGAGGGCCCTACTCCTTCGAGCTTACAATCTAGTAATGGAATACTATGTGATTTTAGTGTATTAGTGAATGTCACTTTTTAAAATTTTTTAATTTCCTGCCGCTTCCGGCCCACGTACATCCCAACTCTCGCAGGGACCAGAACCCGGAAGACGGATGCTGGCATAGGCCGGAGTAGATGACCGGGGGACGCTGCAGGGGACACATCGCGGGAGCGCAGGACAAGGTAAGTGCAAGAGGAATCCCAGAGTAACGCTGCAGTGTATTCCCGAGTGTAGCTCGGGGTTACCGCTTTTGGCACTGATATTTAACCCCGAGCTACACTCAGGAATACCGCCAGAAGTTAAGGCCTCTGTCACACATGCAAATGGGCATTTTCCTGCGGGAGACTCAGCAATTAATTGCAGAAAGGAAGGACCATTGAAAGCAATGGAAGCCTGACAAGGAGCTATTCACAGACTGTCTGCATCCCAGTACAATCATCCACAGGTAATAGCTGCATGGGCAATTACAAATGAATGGCCACCAATAGCTGCGGGTGCTGACAGTCTCACATTTCTTTAGACTTTCCTGCCCACATCTAAGCGCATGGATCCCGCTCTGACTCTCCTATGGGTAATCACCATTGGCTCCATTTACAACTGTGAACGGGGCCTTAGAAGTCCAAAATGTAGTATAGGTTCAGTTCAAGTTCTCTGAAATAAAACAGATAGAAAAATATCTCATTATTCCTCGGTTTTATGTTTATGACTGACCTTTTGGTTTCCAATTTATTTCACCTTGTGCTTTTATTTGCCCAATCTGCTACATTCTCTTAAATACACTCTCACATATATCTCCCAGTTTTACGATGTTATTCCAAAACACCCAATAAACGTCCTGTTCAAATGCAGTATGTTTTCTATTAACAAATTACTGTCAGGAATAACAAAATGTAAGGAGAAGCTGAACACAGATACCATTCGGAGCAGCTTAGATGTTATTCACTATTAATAATCTAAAATGCATCTACTGAATCAAGAAACAATGTCTAATGGTCTTCACAGTGCTGAGAAAATATATTGGCTGCTTTCAATGTTACTGATTCCTTGTGACATTTACCTTTAAGGTAAAAAAGTATATCTAAAGGACATATTTTTATTTTAAAAGCACAATGAAAGTATTTAGCTTTCAAGCATGCTGTCTATTACTGAGCCCTCAGACTCGGGCATCAGTGAAGGAATAGTCACTATTCTGATTTATTCATTGTGTGGGTAAATTTCTTCTTGATCTTTTGATCTCTGTAAATACGATTTATTTTAATAGGAGGTGAAGAGAAAATTAGAAAATATGCAAACATTAGCCTAAAGCTCCACTTGCTGGCTGAAAATGATAATTCAAATACTTATATGCAGCTGGTCGCTGGGCACATGTATTTACATGTTAATACTTTGTCTAATGCTTTTCAATTTGCCAGTAACCATTCCTTTCATTAAAAATGGTCATTGGCCAATTAGCAGCCATAAACTGTGACAGCAATAATTAGGGATCAAAAACTAGAAGTATTACAATCTACCTGGCATGGTAAGTTTGGTAGACTTAAAGTGTTACTAAACCCACAACAGTACAATTATTATTATTATACAGTATTTATAAAGCGCCAATAGTTCGCTCAGCGCTGTACATTACAAAGGGGGACAGAACATGTGACAGAACAATACCAATACAATACAAAACATGAGGGGATCGAGGGCCCTGCTCGAAATCAGTCTGTATATGCAGTAAAGCATGCTTGTTATACCTAAGGGGTATCACTGTGGAACCTAAGGGGTTAACCCTCTGCATTGTGTAAAAAGGCTGTTTTATCCTTTCTTCTCTGTTCCTCCCCTTTTTCAAGCGACCACCACTTATCTCCAGACTGAACCGTAGGCATGCACATGCTCAGTTTGGTGTATAATGCAAGAAAGGTTTTTTTTTTATTGGGAGAGTGCATGTGATCAGTTTTTTACCTTCATGCTTTCTATGCATGAAGGTAAAAAACCTTCTGTGTGCAGCAGTTCCCCCAGCCCCCTTAATACTTATCTGAGCCCCATCGAGATACAGCGATGTGTAACAACCTCGGCTGTCCTGGGTCCCTGCCTCCTCATTGGCTGAGACAGCTCCCGCTGCTTTCAATCAAGTCAGCCAATAAGGAGAGAGAGAGGGGGTCGCCAAGCTGTGGCCCTGTGTGTGAATGGACTTTTGTAGGTCCTTGCTGTGGGGGCACCATACAGAAGGGAGTGGCCAGAAGAGCCTGCAGGGGACCTGAGAAGAGGAGGATCCAGGCTGCTCTGTGCAAAACCACTGCACAAAACAGGTAAGTATTGATATGTTTGTTATTTTCTATAAAAAAAAAACCTTTTAGAATCGCTTTAAGTTTTATCCTACTACAGGTGTACTTAAATGTCCATTAGGAAAATGAGAAGCGCATTCAAAGCAATGTTCTAGAGATCGCCTTAAGCCATGGCTGTATAGGAAGAAATAAATAAATATTCAAGAAACCCGCTCTTGTTCCAATCCCCCAAAATCCAATGATATCTCAGTGGCAATTCTATTGCATTGGCAAATAAGCCTCTACAGATGCTGAAAAACTTTGCTGTCTGCGTCTTTACTGAAATGTAATTTTTAGGTGGACATATCATTTGAAAATATTATTATAACCTTAAAATATTGAACTATTTAACTGTTATATTAAATATAATCAAGCGTGATCTTTACCTTCAGGGGCCCCCAGGATCCTTTGACTTCTTGTTACTCATGATGGCTGACATACGGAATGATATAGCGGAACTGCAGGACAAAGTCTTTGGGCGCCGCACGCATTCCTCTGCAGAAGAATTTCCTTTACCTCAGGAGTTTTCCAACCATCATGACACAATGGACTTTGGCTCAGGAGAGGACTACAAACAAAGAACTGTATCCAAGAACCTCCGAACAGACAAAACAAACCACCATTAACCAATCATGCGCCAGGATGAAAATAATTTTATATTGTTCCTCAATGTATAAAACCATGCACTGATAATGTAAAGAGTATCTATTTTTGACTTTTGAATTTATTTGTTATTAATGTTATTATTATTTGTATTATTATATTGCTTCTCATTTGTACAGAAGCTTATTTTAAAGGTTAGGTCTGCCAAGAACTGATATATCAGTTTTTAAGGGGAAACCACTCTGTTGGGTCACCAGTCTTCTTTTATTCTCAGCTTCCCTCCTTGAGGCTGTGAAATTTCTTAATCAGCTTTACTATAAGAAATTGTTTCATGCTTTGGAACATTGCAGTGACATTAATTTTGAATAGCACTCCAAAACACTAAGGCAATGCACACGCATTACAATGTGCCATAGTGCACTGCAGCAAATTTTATCAGACAAGTCCAATAATTGAGACGGTTTTGTGCATTGGAAACACGATAATGCAACACATGTTAATGAACCGCACAAATGTAAATGGGTCCTAAATAAAGAATAGGGCAGGCAGAGCATCACATCACCTTTAACCTCCCTGGCGGTATGATTATTTCCGATTTTATGTGCTAAAAGCGGTACCATTTTTTTGCATGGAAATATGTACTTTTTTATTGTAGGCTGTAATTTTTAGGAATAACTGAAATCTGTCCGAACAAGAGTCTAGTAAACATCCCGGGTACTATAAAACTTGAAACACGAAATCATAAATTATAATTTAATAAATAATCCTAAAAAATAATAATAAAATAATAATAAATTTAATTCAATAATATAATCAAACCAAAAACACTGAAATTTGAAATACAGAGGCAAATTCGCACATCGCTGAGCAAAGTCGCAAAATCGTTTTCAGTGTCTGATGATGAATTTCCCCCACGAATCATTATCACTCAATTCTGCAAGTGGTTCTGATTTACTATCGCTGTTCTCTAGCTGGTCTAAAACCGCTTTTGACGTAAAGGGATGCTTTTTGGATGCCATAGACTTTTCTAAGTTTCAAGGCAGAAAGAACAGTCAAAATGCAGGCAGGGCACAGGACAAAGCACTCGGGACAAAATGTATGTGAAATGCATTGAAACAGCAATGTTTTACTATGTAATAATCATTTTAAAAAAATGAAATTTTTTAAAAATTTCAAATTTGCCACCAGTTCCGGCGCCTGTACGTCCCGACGTCACAGGGACCGGAACACGGAAGCCGGATGCCGGCATCAGCCGGAGGAGATGGCCAGGGACGCTGCAGGGAACACAACGTGGGAGCGAAGGACAAGGTAAGTGCTGCAGGGACTCCCTGAACAATGCCGCATGGTAAGCCCGAGTGTAGCTCGGGGTTACCGCTCTTGGTACTCAAATTTTACCCCGAGCTACACTTGGGAATACCGCTAAGGAGGTTAAAGAGACTAGTAAATGTAGCCAGGCTATGGACATTCAAGTATTTACATATTCCTAGCAATTTGCATATGAACTTTAACTCAAGCTCTCACTCAATTCTGTAACTGCAGGCACTGTAAAGCAATTTGTCCTCAAATTTGCCTCAAATTCTTCCCTCAGCAGCTCAGCTCCCAGAGCTCCTACTATGTGTTTACAATGGAGAATAGAAGACTAGAAGGCTGCTGAGTCACTGCTGGGAGGTGAGCTGAGCTGCTAAGTCACTGCTGCAAGGGGGGAGAAGGGTAAGCTGAGCTGCTGAGACCCTGCTGGGAGGGCTATGTAGGGGAAGATGAGCTGCTGAGTCACTGCTCAGAGGGGGAGTCCATTGAGCTGAACTGCTGAACCACTGCTGTGAGGGAGAAGAGGGAGCTGAACTGCTTCAGTGTTTCTGCTGAGATGTTAAGGACAAATTGTTTTTCACTGCCTGTAGCTATAGAGGTTAGTTAGGGCTTTGTTTTAGAATATTTGCTGCTTGCTAAGAACAGGTGAATACTTGACCACAAGGTCTCTATAAACCAAGCAAGGTAGCTGCCAAGGAGGGAAGAGAAAAGGAAGGATCTCAGCCATTGGTTTTATCCACCAGGTTGGCTTGGAGACACAATAAGTTGGCAGTTGGTTCAACTTTTGGTATCCACCTAGAACTGACCATCAACTTGAGGTTGATTTACACCTTACAAAGAAGCAATTTTTAAAGGAGGTTAACTGGAGATTTAACTTGTTACATTCTCATTCAAAACATTCACACTTGGCTCATAGAACTTACATAAACATGATATTCCATCTACTTGTATCTGTAATTTATTGGTTTATATTGTCCTACAACTTTTCTTTTTTTAACAAAGGCTTCAATATCATCTAGGCTGATCTGTGTATTTTATTTTCCTTGAACTCATTGCTGAATTTATCCTTTCTACCTGTATGGAATTTTATGCTGTGTGAAAATACACAATGATCCCTAAGCATTACAAAAAGCTCTGGTGAAACAATGATGGAAGCTGAGTTTTATGCAGAGCAGTCAGAATGAAATCTGAGGATGAAGGTGAATATGGGATGTGGGCCTAAATGTGACATTTTTATGCATTTGATAATTAGAAAAATAATATTATAAAATATAATACTACCGTTTGGTGTGTTAGTATAATATATTGAACACATGTTCTAATTGGAATAGTGTAATTTTAAAAATGTAACATTTTTAAAATAAGGTGACCACATATTTTTAATTTTTAGGATCATTCTTCATTTAATCATGGCTGTCCCTGGATAAAAAAAAAATGATACTTAAGTCCTTGGAATTAAAGTCCAGCCAGAAAGGTTTTTTTTAGATAAAGGAAGGAATAGAACCTGTTGAGTCTGATTGCTATCTATAGATGCTATAGATGCTCTCTGAAGGAGAGATTTCCCCTCAGTTTCCGTCTTTGTGACAATGGACTTACCAGATAGGAAGTGAGGAAAAGTCTGCAACAGGGATATAGGCAAAAGAAGCTTCATGAAACAGGTTGTCAACAGGGAATGTCAAAACATAAAATCTTCTTTATTTCAATCCATTAGGTAAGGGAACAATGCACAAATGTTGACATGTTGCAGTCCTGGTAGGCTTCAGTCATAACAAAGATACAAAGAAGAAACAGCTCAAATAAATAATTACCACTCAGATTTGAGAGGAGGAGCAGGACTGACAAGTTAGCCCTTGATACCACAAGACATCATCCTCCAAAACCGAGCGGCACAAATTTCAAAGACATTGTGTAAAATGTGATAAACACATCCTAACATAGAAAGAAAAGTCACAGATAAAAATAACGATAAAAATAGAACTACACAAAATAAAAGAGGCTGAATTGGGTTTTAGCCTTACGCTACTCTAATAAAAAAAAAATCAATGATATTATGACAGGAAGTGACAACAGAACCCTTGAGAGCAGTAAACCCCAACAAGGGTTCTAACTCTTCTGTATCCAGCTGTATCCAAAACTAAAAAAGCTTGTGTCCTGGAGTACACTTTAAAAATGTTCCTTTTTATTTTTCTGAACACACACCTGCTTCACACACACAATTTTAACATTCAGTGATGAAAAAATCTCCACAGCTTTGTTTCACAGTCTATGTTACATACACCTTTTTTTGATTATCAGCATGTTTTGGAACATACATAAAAATCATTGCCATGTGAAGCTCATTTATTTTTTAACAACATATTCTTTTGCTTCAACAAAACAAGGATTCAGTCAAATCTGGTGTATTGTAAGTATTTCTTCATTTATGCCTATGTCAGCTGGCTTTGGGCTTGTGTTGATGGGCAAATGCAGTTTTCTTTCAGGCACATCTAGCTTGCATTCGGGATCGGCTGTAGATGATTCATTTACAGATGCATATGACCTGCAGTTGACTCTCTTCTGACTTTCAGTTGACTCCTTCCAACCTGCAGTTGACCTTCTTCTGGACTGCAGTTGACCTCCTTGTAAGCTGCATCATCCTGTTTTGAGTTGCTTGTGTGTAGCACTACCCCCACAGGGGCCGCTTGATAATGCTTGTCCCCAGTGGTTGCCCTGACCTTGCAAGCCTTCCAACACCTCTAACACTCTGGGTTTAACATATTTCAACAGTACAGAAAAAATGCAAGAGACACAATTCTTTAGTAAAACCTTTATAATAGACTTGTTTAAAAGAGTAGACCACAAGAATAATGAGTTTAGGATATACAACCCCAATTAACACAAAAAAATAGAACACTGGTAAAATAGAAATAATCAATTAGCAACATTTAACAAATTATACAGTCATGAGTAGTAAGCTTCAACCATTTAATTGCAACACCAGCAGTAAGAGGGGGAAGAAAAGGCTTGTTGACTGATCAGCTTCCTGTAGGCCACCTGCGCCACAATGGTGGATGCAGATAATTATGTAAAGGTATACTCCAACATAAATAGATAAAAGTATCCTAATTTAAATATTAATACCCTTATAAGAGAAGTGGTCCATTTAACTAGAGATTGCAACTTGAGTCCTGCAATGTTTAAAGTTCCTAATATGGTGGTGGCCGTTGTCTTCTGTTAGCAATGGTGGGGCTCATAACCGGTAGTGGATACTGGTAATTCAATGAAGTTAACCAGATAGGCTGTGGTACTGCTCAAAGGAAAGATCCCCTGATACTGATGTGTAAAGGTGTCTGCATTCAGTGTCTCTAGAGTAATGAGAGAAAGAGGTTGGGCATTCACCCGCCCACCAATCCTATGGATAACACAGCCCCCTAGTAAGACTTCTGACACAAGCTCTTGGCTGTTTGCAGAATGTGCAGTGTTGTCCCTCGATGACCTATCAGCACAGTGTGCAGAGATGTCTGTGTGAAGACCGGATAGTGACAGTCCCAATGCAGAGAAGCTGATGTGACCCCGGTGTGGTGATCTGTGTCATTGATGTGCAGAGTCCAGCAACAGTAGGCCAACAATCTGTCTCTGGAGGAGAACGGCAATCCCCCTGTGTTCAGCTCTGAATCCCATGCAGAGAGCGAGCCAGTTTCTTGCTCTAGAATATATCTGCAATCCCACCAACCTT